CTTCCACAAAGGATTCCCCAACTCTACTGCAGGCACTGCCTTGGTCCAAATCAATTAATATTTTGAGGGTATTATTTTCCAAATCTGGAAATCCTTAAAATATTTTCAGTTACAAATTCTTTTTTTAAAGATTTATTTATTTATTATGTATACAATGTTCTGTCTACATTGCATGCCTACAATACCGAAGGAGGGCATCGGATCTGGTTCCGGGTGGAACCTGGGTTGCCACAGTCACCAGGGCAGTATTTCTCTTGCTGGGTCATCAAGCCAGCCACAGGGTTGTGAGTTGCTGGGAACTGAACTCATCAGTTCCAAATTCTTAATATTACCTATCTCCGTATTTTAAAGTTATGCACAACAGTTGGTCTTCCCTTTGTACCAGATGCCACAGCAGCGGGGCTAGGCAGTTATTTAAGCAGTGTTTCCAAAAAGTCACAAAATAAATTTGGCCATAAAACAAAACAAACCTGACCAGTTTCCACTTTAAAAACACCAACAACCCTGTATTTCCTTGGAAAAGGACATAATATATTCACTTGATCACTACTGGTGAGGAACAAGCAGGAATATTTTGAAGGCTATGTCTGACAGGCATAAGAAAACTCTTTTCAAAGTACAGGAGATGTATTAGAGGAAGCTTAACATTTTTTATTCGAAATTTTTTATTTTTTTTTATTTTAAGTGTGTGGTGTTTTGCCTACACGTATGTCTGTGTACCATGTACATGCCTGGTACCCACAGAGGCCAGAAGGGGGTGTCTGGTTCTCTGGGACTAGAGTTTCAGAAGGTTGTGAACCATCCTGTGGGTGCTGGAAATTGAACCTGGGTCCTCTCGGAAGAGCAGCCAGTGTTTTTAACCTGAGCCTTCTCCCAAGTCCTAATATTTACTACATTAAAAAGATCACATTGTATGTGTGGGTGGGTGCATGTGCCACAGTCCATGTGTGAAGGTTAGAGCAAATCTTGCAGAGGCTGGCTTTCTCTTCCCATGGTGAAGGGTTCCAGGGATCACATTCTTCAGGTGTGGAGCAATGAATGTCCTTACCTGCACATCTACTGGTTGTAGGGACATGTTCTGGATTTGACCCTTTTCTAGACTATAAACATTTGCTCATGGCTAGTAATATCCACTGCTGTGATGTTAGGTTATGAAAAGCATGCTATGCTAGAACACTATTCCTTTTACCTCCCCCCCCCCATGTAATCATCATCATCACCATTTTAGTTTTTCAGTTCCCTTTATTTGATTTGTGTATGTGTATGTATAGGGACTTGCATGCACCAGTGTGCACGTGGAGGTCAGGGAACTCATGTGCTGCTGCAGGGAGCATCCATGCATTTGTGTGCACAGTGCTGGAGGTCAGGCTTTGTGCCTGTCAAGGGCCTACAAGTTCTCGTTTAATTGCATAAAACAAGTGCTTGGCCATCCAAGGCCCAATTTAAAGCATTATTATGCTTCAAACATGTAGGGCCCGGGTCTACCCCTGCTCCTGGGGTTCATCTTGAGGACAGTTTCTGGTCAGCCAGCTAAAACATTCTGTTTGTTCCTGTGCTCCCTCTGCCTCGCCTGGTGATTAGCTGTAGTAGGGCATTGTTGACTCCATCTTTGGTGTGGCATTTTCCCACCTGCCTGGGGGGAATTCCTTGTGCCGCAGCTAGGTATATAAGGATTTCCCAGAAGTTGAATAAATGGTATTCGGCTGATCTCCTTTCGAATGACCCAGATCTCTTTGTGTGTTCTTTCAATCTCCAGGCCCTTGCCTGGCTTGCGTAAGGTACAGTGGCGCGCGAACTGTACCAAGGGGGTAACACAGAATCGGGTGTTACACAAACATTTTTTAAAAAACAATATTCATTTATCATATTTTGGCATATATATAATGGTATCAGCTAGAATTATTTTATAATCTTTTTTTGCAGCTTGCTATAATTGGCTAAATATTGAACATCCATTATGTGAAGCACTAAGATAACTGCTTAGGTTCTTAAATTCTTTTAAAAAATATATATATATATATATATTTTTTGGTTTTTCGAGACAGGGTTTCTCTGTGGTTTTGGAGCCTGTCCTGGAACTAGCTCTTGTAGACCAGGCTGGTCTCGAACTCACAGAGATCCACCTGCCTCTGCCTCCCAAGTGCTGGGATTAAAGGCGTGCGCCACCACCGCCCGGCCTTTTAAAAATATTTATAGTTGGTCAAATTCCAATGGCTTGGGAGGTCACAGGGCCTAGGGAAGAACCTACAACCATTGTTTTGCTAAATGACATACTTATGCTTTTACCCATATATTAGTGCTACCCTCCACCTTGACCAGAGAAGTTTCTCTCTCTACTAGTCAGCATTTAGTGCAGACTCCACATTGGTTAAAGTGTTGAGAATGAGTGTCTACTGAGGTTTCAGTTCTAAATGGGACATCTATGTCAACCCTTGTCCCCAAGGATTAAGACTCATCCAGGAAGGGGGGGAAGAAAGAACGGAAGAGTCAGAGGATGGGGAGGAATGCTGTGAGATGCCCTCTGATGGACATGACGTGGTCATTGCACCAGGAACTCAATGCAGCTATGACTTCCTGTCAAGAACACGTCAACGAGATCAGTCAGTATTCCAGCAAGCAGCACTAATCAGCCTTAGTGGACAGGGCTGGAGAGATGAACTGGTGGTTAACAGCACTGGCTGCTCTTTCAGAGGACGTGGGTTAGATTCCCAGCATCTACATGGTGGCTCATGATTGTCCATAACTTCAGTTTCAGGGGATCTGACACCACCTTCTGACACCTCCATAGACACTACCCTTGCACAAGGGACACAGACATAAATATAGGCAGAATTCCTACACACATAAAACAGAATTTTTTTCTTTTAATGATTTTTATCGAGCTCTACATTTTTCTCTGCTCCCCTCTCTTCTTCTCCCCTCCCCTTCAGTCCTCCCCCAAGGTCCCCATGCTCCCAGTTTACTCAGGAGATCTTGTCTTTTTCTACTTCCCATGTAGATTATATCTATGTAAGTCTCTCTTAGGGTCCTCACTGTTGTCTAAATTCTCTGGGATTGTGATTTGTGGGCTGGTTTTCTTTGCTTTATGCTTAAAAACCACTTATGAGTGAGTACATGTGATAATTGTCTTTCTGTGTCTGGGTTACCTCACTCAGAATAATGTTTTCTTTCTTTTTTCAGAATGTTTTCTAGCTCCATACATTTTCCTGAAAAATTCAAGATGTTATTTTTTTCTGTTGTGTAGTACTCCATTGTATAAATGTACCACATTTTCCTTATCCACTCTCCGGTCAAAGGTTGTTTCCGGGTTCTGGCTATGACAAACAGTGCTGCTATGAACATAGTTGAGCACATGTCCTTGTGGCATGATTGAGCATCCTTTGGATATATAACACCAAAAGTGGTGTTATTGGGTCTTGAGAAAGGTTGTTTCCTAATTTTCTGAGAAATCGCCACACTGACATCCGAAGGGGTTGTACCAGCTTGCACTCCCACCAGCAATGTAGGAGCGTTCCCTTTTCCCAACAACCTCTCCAGCATAAGTTGTCATCAGTGTTTTTGATCTTGGCCATTCTTACAGGTGTAAGATGGACTCTCAGAGTAAAACAGAATTTATATATATATAAAATCAATAATATATTGAGCCTTCAGGTTGGCCCAGGTTCACACAATTCTCCACAGGAAAAGCAGTCATGAATGGCATCTTGGCTAACTTTAACATCTGGTAATGAGGTCAAAGGCACTTCTTTTATTTCTCAAGCAATAAAACATCTCATTAATTTACTTTCTCAAAAAAAAAAAATCTGGCTGAGCATGGTGACACATGCCTTTAATCTCAGTGCTGGGGAGGCACAGGAGGCTGGTCGGGTCTACACAATAAGTTCCAGGAGAGCCAGGGTTACATAGAGAAACCCAGTCTCAAAATAAGGTGTGTGTGTGGTGGAGGTGGAGAGATGGTTCTGTGGTGCTGCTCTTCCAGAGGACCTGGGGTTAGTTCCTAGCACCCACAGAGCAGCTCACAACTGCCTGTAACTCCAGTTCCAGGGAATTTGACACCTTCACACAGACACACATGCAACCAAAACACCAAGGCACATGACATAGTAAGAAATAAATCATTAGAAAATACAATTCTATTGCAGACAGACAGACAGACAGACACACACACACAGAGGCAAAGTCTCAGGGAAAACCAGAAAGCTTCAACAGAAGGAACTCACAAACAGATGTCGCCTCAGAAGGTAAAAAAAGGCACTCGGTAGCAGGTTCAGGAAAAAGCCGGGAGAAGTCAGCTCAAAACAATGCAAGTACTTCACCCAGGCAGCCTTTTGAACACTGAACCAGCTAATGTCAGGAGCACGTGCCTGGACACAGACTTAGAAAAGAAAAATTAAGACAAACAGCAACAACGACGACAACAACAAAAGTCCTAAAGAACAGGCTAGAAGACCGCGCTGCAGTCACTGTAAAGCGCCTTTCATCAAAGAACCTATACTTAGCATTGCTATTATCAACTCCTGAAGCACAAAGCTGGTGGCTGCGAGCTCTTAGTGGATTCAGGAAAACAAACCAAAAAAAGAGCCTTTAATCCCAGCACTCGGGAGACAGAGGCAGGACGGTCTCTGTGAGTTCGAGGCCAGGCTGGTTTACAGAGTTCCAGGATAGCCAAAGCTACACACAGAGAAACCCTGTCTCGGAGGGAAAAAAGGAAGAAAGAAGAAAGGAAGAAAGAAAGACAGAAAGAAAAGAACCAAGCATTTTATCGTCGGATGCCCCTTCCTCACAGTTTTGGGTGTAGGTGCACCTTTAGGAAAGCAGCGGTAGAGCGCTTCCAAGGCTACGAGATGCTGCTCCACGCCGGAGACAAGATGGGTACCGCACCGGCTGGACACCCACCCGTACGTTGCCCCGCACCTAATGGGCTGCGCGGCGAGAGTTCGAGACCGCGGGGCCCCGCACGCCGGGAACCACGCATGCGCAGAGCCCAGAGCAGCGCGGGATGCCCGGCCGCGGCTGACAGAGTCAACCGCCCGGCCTCGTCCGGTGTTGGCTGCCGCCGCCCTCACCCCAGCGCCGCGACTCGGCTCACGCCTCTCCTGCCAGCTGCTCAGGACTCGGCGGTCCTGTCAGACCGCTGAGGGCACGACGGCGACGGCGGCTGCGGCGGCCCCGGAGGCGCGAGAGGCGCCGGGGTCGCGGCGGCGATTGGCCGGCCGCGGCGCCTGCTCCCATAATGCAGCGCATGGCGCGTCATTGAAGAGAGACCATGATGGCGGCTGCGCTGGGGCCCCCAGAAGTGATCGCTCAGCTGGAGAACGCGGCCAAAGTTCTGATGGTGAGAACGCTGGGCCCCGAGTACCGCAGGATCCGTGGGACTCCGGCTGGCTCGACCACGGCAGGCCTGCTGTCCGCTGGCCTGGCTGCCGGGAAGGGCCTTGGGATGAACCCCGAAGTGGTGGTGGCGTGGCGCAGGATTCTCCATCCTACTTTCCTCCTGTCTCGGTCCCTTACTTTCTAGAGCTTGTCCTCTTCCCTGGCTGCCCTATCCTCTGCCTGGCATAGGGATGTAGTGGTGTAGCATGGAAAGTTTCCTGTGCCTCCTGCTTCGCCCTATATATACCGTCCTGGGCAGACTGGGTAGCAGAGCAAGGCACGGGAGGGAGCTTGGGGTGAGCCCACAGGACTTGGGTCAGGGTACAGTCTTGGGACTGTGTGCATGACGCTGAGTAGTTGATCCTGTTAGGGGAGGGATGGCACAGCCTGGGTGCTCTTCGCAACCCTTGTTCCCTCGTGCATCGGGTCCCCTAGCTCTTTGCCTGACTTGCAGGCAGCTCTGGGTAACCGCAGCCGGCACGTGGACGGAGCGGAGCGGCAGGAAGGAGGGAGGCGAGTCTTTAGGACCAAGGTCGTTGGGGCCAAACTTGGTCCAGGACCGAGCTCCGTGTGCGTTTCGAGTATTGGAAAGCTGACTCTGTGGTACTCGGTAACATAAGTCTCACATAGCTTGATGAGGGTGTTTTGAGCAGGACGAGTCAGGATTATAAACAGTATTCTACACAGGGAGCAAAAGTAAGGATAAACTTCATTCGGTTACTCAGTAAACTGTGTGTCTTACATTTGCTGACTCAACTTGATTTCTTTCATTTTTCTTTTTGTAAATTATGACAACTGCGATTGTAGATTATTATTTTTGAAATTTATAGGTCCTTTTTTTTAAAACTTAAAATGATTTAGACTTTCTAAGAATTGAATGCAGCCCGATTTTTTTTTTTTTGGTACCCGGACTCTTACTTTTAGGTTAGTTGTGTTGAGCATCATGTTTAAGAAAATTTTAGCTAGGGCCTGGAGAGCTGGCTCAGTGGGGCACACGATGCTCTTCCAGAGGACCTGAGTGGGGTCCCCGCACCTATGTCAGGTGGTTCCATCCACTTGTAACTCCAGTTCCAAACATGCACTTACCCACACATGGAAATAAACACAGAATTTAAAAACAAATGTTAAAACGTTTAAAAATAATGCTTGAACCAATTCTAGCGTTGTTATTAGTACCATTTGTCAAGTTTTGTCTTCATATACAGTATCAGATGCTTTAGCTTTTGGAAGGTGAGAGGAGGGGCTGGAGAGATGGCTCAGGAGTTTAGAGCACTTGTGGCTTCCTCAGAGGACCTGGACCTGAGCACATGTGGTGATTCACAACCATCCTTGACTCTGCTTCCAGGGGATCCAATGACATCTTCTGACATCCACAGGCTATGCAGATAAAAACTCATAAATAAATCCTTAAAAGATTTGGGATTAAAAACTTAAGCTTGGGGGCTGGAGAGATGGCTCAGTGGTTAAGAGCAGTGCCTGCTCTTCCAAAGGTCCTGAGTTCAATTCCCAGCAACCACATGGTGGCTCACAACCATCTGTAAAGAGGTCTGGCGCCCTCTTCTGGCCTTCAGGCATAACAGACAGAATATTGTATACATAATAAATAAATAAATAAATAAATAAATAAATAAAAACTTAAGCTTAATAAAAGTTTAGTAAGCCGGGCGATGGTGGCGCACGCCTTTAATCCCAGCACTCGGGAGGCAGAGGCAGGCGGATCTCTGTGAGTTCGAGACCAGCCTGGTCTACAGAGCTAGTTCCAGGACAGGCTCTAAAGCCACAGAGAAACCCTGTCTCGAAAAAACCAAAAAAAATAAAAAATAAAAAAATAAAAGTTTAGTAAAATCTCCAAATACAGCGTCCCCATAATACCTGAAAGTTTCTGAGGAGTTAGGGGTATTTTTGTATTAGATTAAACAACACAGCAGTGCTCTAGTATTTAAGTTGATAGGTTACTTGATGGTGTACGTCATTGGCCTCATGGAATGTAGTATTTGTGCTTGGCAATGCATCCTTTTCTTTCCTGGTAAGGCTGGTTTTTATCACAATGTTTATATGTGGGTAAGAAAATGGTACTAATATTCTATTGATTGCTAGAGTTTGGGTCCTATCTTATGAATCCCTGTAGCAGCTTTGCACTGTTGAGAGAAACTGATATTCAAAGCAAATTAGTGATGAGACTGATCACAACTCAGTTCACCAGACACCCCCATTTCAGAATTCTGAACTCTTTACTCTGTAGCATAGGCTAGGTTAGAACTCATTATGTAGGTAGCCCATGCTGGCTAGTGGTCCTGCATCGGCCTCAGAGTGCTGGTTATCACAGGCATGAGCTTTATTCCTTTGAATTTTTTTATTCAACATGTTGCTTCTCAAAACCAGCATATTAATTATCCTGTTACATTGTCTTTTTTGTTGGAAAGTTTCTGTAGTGGTACATTTATAATCAGGCCTTTTAAAGATATGGAATAAAGTATTGTACCTCCAGGGTGACAGGTGAAGGAGGCTGGTGAGGTGGGTCACTGGGAAAAGCTTTGTGAGTACGCACAAAATACATGTAAAAAAAAGTTAAGGTGTTATCTGGCATAAGGAATGATTTTTGTCTGAAAGGTGTTAATAGATGTTTTCTGTAAATACTGCTTAATTCACTACCAAGAAGTTACCTGCTGGAAAGTAAATTTGAAGGTAGATGAGCCAGAATGATGAAGGGCTGTTGTTAATTAGCCATGTGTGTACAAGTAAAGTTATCTATTCTGAAAACGTGGTGGAAATGGGGAAAAAGGTTGGTTTTTGTTGTGTTGAGGTAGGGTCTCACTTTGTAGCATTGACTGGCCTGGAACTCCCTGTGTAGATCAGGCTGGCCTGCTTTTGCCACCAAGTGCTTGGGACCACCACATATGCTGGAAAACATGATTTGGTTTTGAGAGCGCCTGTCCTGGAACTTACTGCGTAGTCCACACTGACCTTGAATTTTCTGTCTCCCTGCTGCCTCAGCCTCCCGAGTGCTGGGATTAAATGTATGCCTGGAGAAGTAGTTAAATATGCTTCCCAAATTAATTTTTTAGAAAGTTTCAGGTTGTTGACCTTTTTTTTTTTTTTTTTTTTATTTTTCGAGACAGGGTTTCTCCGTAGCTTTTGGTTCCTGTCCTGGAACTAGCTCTTGTAGAACAGGCTGGCCTCGAACTCATGAGATCCACCTGCCTCTGCCTCCCGAGTGCTGGGATTAAAGGCGTGTGCCACCACCGCCTGGCTGTTGACCTTTTTTAAAAGCACAATTTTATTGATTTGTTGGGAATTTCACATCATGCACCCTAATTGGCTCACCTAAGAGTCCCTCAGTATAAGGTGTTGCCTTTTGCTTGAGGAATTTAACATTTTTTCCCCAGAGGTTGGTAGATATTTTACAGAGTAAAGCCAACCATACTCTATGCTAATAACATTCTCTTCATTTAGTGTTTTCTTGATGTCAAATTTAATCAGGTTACCTAAATGTAGTGAAAACTTGATGTTGAATATACATATTTTATGACTCACAAATTATAGAAGAAAAATGGAATGCACTATTTTAAGTAAATAATACACTATTTTTTTCCACCCCATTCTCTCTTCTTATGTAATCTGCATAACAGTTTAAATAGGCTTTGACCTTTTCCACTGACTTTTACAACACACAATCTGTGGTTTTCCTTTTTATCTATTTTTTTTTTTGAGACAGAATTTCTCTATGTAGCTTTGGAGCTTGTCCTGGAACTATTATCTATCTGTCTGTCCGTCTGTCTATCTATTATGTATACAATATTCTGTCTGTGTGTATGCCTGCAGGCCAGAAGACTACAGCAGATCTCATTACAGATGGTTGTGAGCCACCATGTGGTTGCTGGGAATTGAACTCAGGACCTTTGGAAGAGTAGGCAATGCTCTTAACCACTGAGCCATCTCCCCAACCCCCCTGGAACTATTTTTGTTTGTTTTTTTGTTTTGTTTTGTTTTTGAAGTCAAGGTTTCTCTGTAGCTTTGGACCCTGTCCTGGAACTCACTCTGTAGACCAGGCAGGCTGGGCTCGAACTCACAAAGATCTGCCTGTCTCTGCCTCCCAAGTGCTGGGATTTAAGGTGTGTTCCACCACTACCTGTTTCAGAATTAATTTTTTTAGTTGGCAGTTGTATGTATTTTGGGGTGACCAGGTAATGGTCAGATACATACATATTCATATATATTGTGTAATTCCAAATCATGTTTTTTACCTTAAAGAAAACTAGAAGTGTGTCATAGCTCACACTAAGGCTGGATTTGTAGTTTTGCTTTTGTAGGTCAGGTTATTTTATTTTCACAGATTTGTGTAATTGTGCTAGTTTAGCATAATTTTATCAACAAAGAGAAAAATGCCTTTCAAATGAGAAATAGTTAATAAAAGAGAGATGGGGATTTTTCTCTATTCACTTGTAATTGTGGGAAGTCAAGTTGGCTCTAAAATAACAATATTTCAGAGTAGAGCCTTTCAGAGTTTAGAATGTGTATAATCAGTCTTGGGTGACTGTTAAAATTGCAGATTCCATTGCTTTGCCTAGAGAAGTCCTGATTAAATAGGCAATACTTCATTCTGTTCCCTGGTCTTCAGTGGCTGAGACCTTTAGGTCTGAAAGCTCAGCAAAGTCGTTGCCCCTGCTTTACATTCCAGCTGTAAAGCTGTTCCCACTAACTGTCTTGTTTTTCTACTAGGGCTGCCTACATAATTTGCAGGGCCCACTACAAATGAAAATGTTGAAAAAAAGGAGCTTGGAAGTGCTGATAAAAGTTGTAAAATACAAAGCACTTTCTTGTTAAGTATTTATTATAAAATGTGGCAGGGAGATGGCTTAGTTGGTGAAGTGCATGCTGGACAAGCATGAGGACCTCCATTCAAATCCTCTGAAGCCAGATGCAGAAGTAGGAAGACAGACAAATAGATCCTGGAGCTTGCTG